GAGCGCTCGGGTAACGCCCGAGGAGCCGGGCCCGCGTGGGCACACACGAGTGGGAATCCCGGCCGAGGGGCTGCGGGAGGGAGGGAGGGAGGGAGGGAGCGGGGACACCCGGTGCCCGCGGGATGAGCCGCGTCCCGGCCGCCCTGCCCCGCGCTTGGCACAGCCGGAGAAAGGCCTGACTCGTGTGCAGGTGGTTTTTGCGTTATAATAATACCGGGTTTGAGCGATTGCTGGTGCAGCAGGAGCTGCTTCGCGCGTGGGTGCCCGCCCGTCTGCTGTTCCGAGGGCTGTTCCGAGTTGTACCGCGGCGTGTGTTCCGTTTCAGAGGGTGAAACGCGTGCAGAACAGCGAGGCAGTCAGGTAGGCTCGCAAGCAAACTCCGCGGCAGCTGGTGGGTGCATCTCCAGGGGTACCGGCGGGTCCTCCTGCCTGCTCCGCTCACGCTGCTCCTCGGGGAGGCTCTGGCTCATGTTCAGACCGGCGAGCTGGCCGTAAAATGTCCTAAGTCTGTTTAAATGCGAGTGATTCATCGTTAACAGAAGTCCTAAGAGGCAGGTTCTTTTTACAGCTGCCTTGGCTCCTCAGCTTTTCTCTGCTGTTGCTCAGATTGCTGCTTAGGAAAGAGAAGTGTGTACAGCTTTGTCTGGTTCATCTTCCCGACACACACGGAGCCATCCTGTGTTCACCTTCCTTGGGAATTAACTCGGGGAAAAGAATTACCGTGAGGAAACTTAGGGAAGTCCAAGAGGAAAAACAGCTCTCCTGACGTATCTGTCATTGCAGCGCTTACATTGCTAAAGGATCAACACAGAAATGCTCAGTCAACTAATGAGGCTTGTGTGCTTTGGATTCCCTCAAAGCTGCAGCATTTTAGCACCTAAAAAGCATGAGTCAGGTTGATGCTTTTTTCTGCTTTCAGGGCAATTCTGAAGCCTCAATTCTGTGTAGATTCTATGAGCATGATGGACTGTGAGGCCACACTGTAAGACCTCCTGTGTCTTGTACAGTTTCTGTTCTTTGTGGTTACTTATTTTCTTCAAAATATGTAGCTCTGAAACATCCACCCCTCTGCCCAACTGGACAGGAAGATCCCTGTGCTTTCTAAAGAGAAGGAACTCTTATTTCCTAAACCTTTATTTTGGGAAGTAGCTAGAAAACTAACTTAGATCTATGTTGACCTTTTAAAACTTAAGAAAATTTGAGGAAGATAAAATTTAGGTGCTTCTTCACAATTTAATCATGTGCTAGTGAAGCTATTTGCTCTTAATGAAGAAACCTGGAAAATTCAGATGTAAATCTAGTAGTTGCTCTGATGGAGAATTAACTGATTGGTAGAGGTACTCTGGAAATACATGTTTGCAAACTTTTGGTTTTTTTCCTTTCCAGGTATGAAGCACTGTGCCCTGTGATACTTTGCTGGTTCTCACCACTGGAGAATGGCTGCCATGCTCTGTGAAAATTGTTCTGGTCAGTACCACTACACCCAGGTCAACCAGCCCCTTGAAACCAGCTGCATGTTGCTCCTGATTATGTTTGGAAAAGTGTTCCTTGATTTCTTCATGTTGCAGGTTAAGCAGAAAGATGTGAAAGTTAGTTTCATGGGATACTTCTGTGTTTCACTGGCACTTCTTGATTTCATACTGCTGATAAGTATATCTTTCATTTTCTACCTTGAGGACTTTGCACTCTGGGGTGTACGATTTACAAAGTACCACATTTGCCTGTTCACTCAGGTCATTTCTCTTACCTATGGTATTTTGCATTACCCGGTGTATCTGGTAGCCGGTCTGGATTACTACATGACTATAGCCCAAACTTCTCACTTTCCTAAAAGAAGTCAAAGATTACTTTATGTATTTGCTGTGGTTGTTATATGGATCTCAGGGTTTTTTTGTATTCTGGAAGTTCCTGCTGTCTACAAAGGACTAGAAATTCAGAACCGCTTTTCTCCGTATCAGTGTCCCCTCCATGCCAGTGTGCAGAGCTACTCAGTCTCATGTGCCATGGTGCTGCTGACAGGCACAGCCCTCCTGGCTTGTCGGAAGGAACTCCTAGCCATGCTGATGTCTGTCAGGGTTGTTTCCTTTGCTGGTCAGCCTGTTCTGATGTTCTCGTACGTGTCCAACAACAATGGCGCTAGCTTTAAGTGGCAGCTCCTGACCAGACTCCTCCTCTGTTTCCTTGGCACTTGGGCACCTTTTCTTCTTCTTCAAATTATCATCTTGTTTCTGGGTGCTCGGATTCCAGCCTACATGGAGATGAATGTCCCCTGGCTCTACTTCATCAACAGCTTTCTCATTGCAGTGGCATACTGGTGTCGATGTCGTGACGTTGAATTGACAGAGGAGATGTGGTCCACAGACCCATTTGTCAGCTGGAAATTCTGCTTTATGCCATTTAACAATGAAAACACAGAGCCAGCTGACAAGCCAGGCACAGTAATTGTAATCTGTTAATGAGCTGCTGACTGAAAAGACTGCAAATCATTGCTGTGCAACAGAAGTGTGTATTCTGACGTGCTGTGACCGTGTCCTTACAGATCATAACAAGTAAACATCTCCAGAGCTACAACCAATGGAAAAAAAGTCCAATGTCCACCAATGTTGCAATGGATATTGGACCCAAGTGTGGGACACTGCTCTCTTTTCCACACTGGGTTCCTGTGGGCACCTGCCAATTCAGAGGATTTAACTTAAAATACGGGTTTAAGAAAAGACCACTACTTCTATAAAACAAGTTTTCAGTTAAGGTATGTTTATGACTAGAATTTTACACTTGCTTTAAATGGGATGATCTCAGGTTTTACAGTGTAAGATGCAATAAAGTCTTCAGAGCTGGAGCTCTTTTATCAGTTATGTATGTGTGTTAACCTGCTGTCCCAGGTTCAAACAACTCCTGTCATTTTTTGAAGGGTATTATTTTTGCTTAAGTGTGACTTTGTCAGTTCAAGTTAAGGGTTGTCTGTTTAATGGGAAATAAATTGTCAATGTAAATCGACAACTCCTACAGAAATAAAAAACTTTGTTTATATAGTAAAAAAAATAGTGCAAGATGTGCAGCTTCCACAACTACAGGAAAGGAGGTGATGTTTCATTATTTCTTTGCTACTGCCCCTCTAATGTATATATGTGCATATTAAAATTAAATATTACAATAAGAGCAGTAAGTTTGAATGCAGTGGCAATTACACTAAAAATGGAACAAATACAGATGTGCTCAATACATGAACAGCTCAGCTCTACTCTACTAAGCAGATGCTCTTACAAGGTTAGTTGCTGAAATTAAAATAAAATTTACCTTGAAGCCAAACAGTTAAGTTTCAAATGGGACTACTTCAGCAGGGGAAGCATCAGCCAGGCTTCTAGCAAAAATACTACCACCATTTAAAAATTCTTACAGTTTTTTGAAGGTCTCGATTTAGTTTTTCCAAGAGAAATAAATGATACACTATCAAAGCAGACAAATGAAAGTAGCATTTATTTCTGAAGCACTGAACTCACAATACAATTCTGTATTGAAATAGAAACTATATAAGTAAATGGTGCTGCAGGTTGGTTAATCATTCACCCAGACCCACAGGGAACAATGATATCACACAATACTCATTAAGAAAAATCTGCAGATAACAAAAGGTGCAATTACAAGCAAGTTTAAGCAGCATAGTATAAGGTGCTTTTTTTCAGCATTTGTAAGATGAATTTACCCATTAACAGACAGATTAAAGAATTTCACTTCTACAGATTGTAACAAATGAGAGAATCTAGAATTCATTCACATGCTAGTTGGCAATAGGAAAGTGCTTTTTAAAAAAAAGGATTCACAAAGTGAAGATTATATTTTTTACATAGTTCACTGTGTGCTCTTCAACTGTAAAATTTAAGATTCGGGTTACAAATTACATTGCTATACATCAATTATAGACATAGATTTAATTGCAGAATTCAATGCTACGTGGGCTAAGTTTCTTATAAAAGAATATTCCAGCAAGTCACTCCATAAGAATACACAATCACATCTCAATCATATATTAATCTTACATTTCTGCAATATATCAAAGTCCAATCATCAGTCTGATCTATTACTTCACCCTACATAGTGCTTTTTTCACCTACAGTCTGTGGTAAATTTGAGGTTTCAGTGAGTTGATCAAAAGGACATGAGCATTTTTCAACAGTAGAAAACTGTTTACTGAAAACTGTTTTACTGAAAAAAGTAGTCTGGGGAAAATCTGTTCAAAAGGCCACCAAAGGGACAGCAAATGATCACAAACTGAATGTTAAAACTAGTGCAATAAGAGGCGGGAATGCTTAGCAACATAGTTTGAAGTGTTTGGCACCACAAAATATTCATCCTTTATGCTGGAAAATGTATTTGGAGGAAAATTTCCATATTAGAAGTAGGAAAGCATGTTAACCTGAAAAACAACCTTAAGCAAACACTCCCTGCTCTCTCAAATTCCAATTGCTGTTACTCAGCACTTAAGATGCAATAGGACAACGCGCTTTTTTTGACACAGCAGTTCTTCAGGTTTTATATAAACTGGACCCCCACTGAAATGGGGTTGACAAAATATTTACAAAACCTAACTCCACTTAAAAACCAGCAAATATCAAGTATAGCAATGCACCAGGCATTTCATAAGATCATGAATTAACTACTCCCTACAGACTTGGCAGGCAAGGGAAAATCCTAATTTAAAAATTCATTTAACACCAGATGAAGGCAAAGTTATTTTCAAGAACATACATTTCAGGTGCTTCTGTTTTGTGTTGGCAGTCTCACCCTTCTGATTCATTATATAGAACTGGAACAGCAAGAAGTTGTGTAAGGCTGCTGATGTATTTTATCAGTGTAGTTCAGGTTCTCAACCTGTAATTAAAGTTTACACAGCCCCATCCGTCCTGATGTGGCAGAATTCCCACAGTTGCTGCAGTGCTTCTAAAGCCACCTTAAGTTTTTAAAAAATTATTTTTTACAGGGAAGCCACAACATGCAGCCAAACAAATGTGAATGTACTGATGCTACATCACTACAATACTATAAAATGCATTCTCTTGTGCTCTTTGGGGAAGAGTCAAAGAGCTTTAGGCCCCTACTGGGTTGGTATCCGCAGCACTACAGGCTTCACACAGCATCCAGCCATGGCCTCTGAGCTGTGGAACCACTTTGAAATACATTAATAGTAACTCTCTCTGTCAGCCCACTTTTATCCATGACTTTTTATGGAGTGAGATACCAGTTGTGATCTTTATTCTATTACTTTCAACAGTCTACCTCTTTTTCTCTCTTCGTGTATCTTCTCTGGAAAGTCCTAACATTGACCCTCGAGTCCTGCCATAGAACCATAAACCACTACTCTGTAGAAGAGGATTACAGTTTCACTGCCAGATGGAAAGAAGAGAGAAGCCATGCTAGGAAGGTGTTAGTACTACAGACAACCACTGCTCTGTCTCCTCTGTACATCACTTCCTGTGCTGTGCCAGCAACTAACGGCCTTATACCATTCAAATACTTTACAGTCTTTCGTTCTGATAGGATTATTTAATATTAACAGTGGCTAAAGTGTTAACCCTTCATGAGAAGCTTCTGTACTTTCCTCTGATAAAGAATCCCTTACAAATCAACATTGATTCTAATGAGATACTCTTAGCTGCTTTCAACTCTAAATAGAAGTATTTGGCACTCGTTAATAGAAACCTTCATTCCTTACACTCTTCTTTCCTCATCAGTACTGGTTTGATAACACACTAACACAAAGGCTACCTGGAAAGGTAGTTGGGTGTGCAGAATATCTCAGTGATTTTTCAAACATCCACTCAGCAAAAAGCTGCCAAAGAACAGCAACATCCTGGCTGCGAGTACATGAGCCAAGCAGTGGAGGAGAACAAGTCTCCAAAAATCCAGGCATGTCTCATGGATCAGTATTTGTGCTTCTAGCCTAATCCCATAATCAGCAAGGACACTCTGATTGAGTACCTATGAACAATAACCCTTTCAACGACTCTATATAACAATACAGTGCTTTTTACACACAATTAAAATGCTCCTTAAGTATTGTACCTAAATTATATTTATGATCACTCTTCTATAATCGTACAATTGTGCTAAAATTGGAATTCTTTCTACACAGAAAAACACTCTTTAGATCTCCTTTTTCTAGCTCCCTTCTGCACAGGCATTTTGGGTAATTTAGCAGGAAGATGAAACATGCTGGAAGTTTAAATTTTTTTAACTCACAATCTGTTCATAACAGTGACTCCCAGACCTGTGCTTTTGAAAAGTTATATCAACAAGTACAAAAGCTACATTTCAGGTCTACCATGTATCTTCACACCTTTGAATTTTGTTTTTTCCTTCCCTTTAGCTAGAAAAGATGAGTAAACAACGTGCACACGCAAGTGCACAAGCAGGTGTGTCGAAGTGTTAACGTAGGGGTCACACAAACCTACAGAGCAGCTGAGGATGGAGGCCTTGAGCATATGTGGAAGTGCTGGCTGTGAGATCCATAGAAAAGAGTCACACGAAATGCCCTGGCCAACAGAGCTCACACCCAACAGGGCAAAAAGCACATGTAGAAATCTGTAGGGAGAAGGAAATGGCACCTGATAGAGCTCCTCGCAAGTAGTGAAGGTGGAAAAACCAAATCAGCCAGATTGATATGGATTAGCCTAACATGTCCTAACTGCTTTGTACTCAACCTGTGTCCCAGGCTCTGACTGCAGGGGTACAGGCTGTCCATCAGCTCAGACTGTCCTAGGGACAGGTTCCTGAAAAAGCAAGTAAGACATCTACACAGCAGGCACTTCTCTGCATCATAATTATCTCTTTCTTAAATGTCACTATTTGCAAAGCCATTCAGTCAAATGGATAGGGTGTAAATAAATCCTTCTCACTAAAGACAAATTTCTTTAAAAGTAACTTAATTTAGGCTTAACTTAAATGAACATAGAGAAATTTACACTAATTTAATACTTTCTCCTTACAGTATTTCCTGAAACTACAGCTCACTGTGCAAGAGTAACTTAATTAGTTCACTATGAGCAGTTACTAGCACCTTACATTGAAATGATGCATTTATACATCTGCTCATACCTGTTCCACCCAGCATTTAACAGACACAGTACATTTAAAACAAAACACCTTAAAATGTTAGTTTCTTTCCATCTCTGGTGAACATTAGAACACGTGTCCTAGAATGATTCTTTTGAAGAGTCATTGTCTGCAGCCTAGAACAAATGATGAGTAGAAGTCTGGCTAGTGAGTGACAAGTATATACCTAAATAGATGTTATCAGGACATCCCTATGCAATACTCCTAAGAAAATAACCCTGAAAGCTTTTATACACATGCTTATTTTTAACATTAGTAGTCTCAGTATAATCAGAACTACTCATGCTATAAATTTTGTGGATGTCTCATTATTTGCAAAACCAGGACACACAGTACAGATGTCACT